GAACCCCAAGCAAGAGGAACCCAAAGAGGACCACACCAAGACACATCATAATTAAAATGCCAAGGGCAAAAGACAAAGAGAGAATATTAAAAGCAGCAAGAAAAAAACAGTTAGGTACTTACAAGGGAGTGCCTATACAACTGTCAGCTGATTTCTCAACAGAAACTATGCAGGCCAGAAGGGAGTGGCAAGAAATATTCAAAGCAAGAACCTACAACCAAGATTACTCTGCCCAGCAAAGCTATCACTTAGAATTGAAGGTCAGATAAAGAGCTTCACAGACGAGAAAAAGCTAAAGGAGTTCATCACTACCAAACCAGTATTATATGAAATGCTAAAGGGTATTCTTTAAGAAGAGGAAGAAGAAGAAAAGGTAAAGATAAAAAATATGAACAATAAAGTGGAAGAAATACATATCTATCAACAACTGAATCTAAAAAATCAAACGAATCAAAAATCTCATTTGAAGCTTGTTTTGGTCTTTTGTGCAATCATACACAATGAATAAACTCCTATTCTTACCTCTAACTTTTACTCATGTGCTAGGCCGAGGCTGCAGAAACAAGAGCTATCTCTTATTTTACTCAAGAGCTAACTTTACAGGTTCCCAATATAACTGAAATCTGTTGGATATGCCATCAGCAGCCTAGAACGAGGATTAACCATGCTCTAATGGGACTCCTGGCCAATTCTTATCTTATTCCATGGACCCTAACAGGTTAACTTGTCTAAGCACAACCCAACTTTTTAAATTATTCCAAAATTTAATGTAACACCTTGGTGTTTTCAGCCCTTGTCCACCATATTCTATACAAAGCTTAACAAGAATTTCTCCCATCTGGAAGACAGAAGTGTTTTTCATTGTGACCAGGAGGGCCTCACTTTCAAATTCTCAGACAGAGAACAAAACCTCCTAGAATTGTAGCACAACCTGAAATGCTACCTGCTGTTATAAAATGGCACACACAAATCAGCAGGTATTTGCAATGGATCCCTTATTAAAGCAGAACCAAATGCTACTAACTATACACTCCAATTTTTAAATAGCTCTATTACCTGCAATACAACTTTGCAGATACAGACTAGACAAAACTGCAACAGAACCATTCTTTCCCCATCTAAGGGAAAAACAAGAAGACACTACCCTGGATGCAATACATCAGCACTGCCGTCAATCACTAATTGACTAAATCATTCCTCCCCAGACCCCACTAAGCCTAATGATACTAATGGATATCTTTGCTTACTCAAAGGACTTATGTTCCTAGGACAAACACCCCAAAGTGGAATAGCTCAACAATACATTAATCCATCTGCAACCACAGGAATAGGGACAATAGGCTACAACACATCCCCAGAGCAAACTGTTCAGATTTATTGTCCTCACAAAAGGTGCAAAAGGGCCATAGATTTCCTTGTGCTAGGCCTCACAGCCTTAATTGGAAGCCTAATTAGGCTAGCAGGGAGCATTACCTACAGTGCTGTTCCAGCCAAAAATATAACTGCTTCAATGACCACTATTGCTACTACTAATGGCAGAGACTTAAGATAATTTTTTCAATCAATAAATTCAATAGCCAAGATGGTCACTGATAACCACATAGCATTCGATTACTTATTAGCTTCCCAAGGAGGCATATGTACCCTAGCAAACACCTCGTGCTGTTTTTACATCAATACAACTGGCCAAATTGAAGCAGACGTTCAAATCATTTAAAAACATGCCACTTGGTTATGGAATTTTAATCTAGAAGGCATGAAAGATACTAGTTGGAATACAATGAAGCAGGCATTTCCCAATTTAACTTGGTTCTTACCCTTGTTAGATCCACTAATAGCTCTCATACTTATCTGCACCTTCGGTCCCTGCATAATAAACAAACTAACAACTTTTCTTTCCTCCCAGATACAGGCAATACATCTACAAATGATGGTTCAACAAGGCTGTCAGCTCATACATCAAAATCCATTGGACCAGGCTACCCGGCACTTCCACTCCACCCCAATCTAGCCACCCCAGACAGAGAGCAAGGGATATCGGGCCAACACAGCTCCCTTGTCCAATTCAGCAGAAGTAGAGTCAGAAGCCAGACTAGCGTCCCTCAACTTTTCAAACGAATTTGACCGATATCACTTGAAGGGGGGAAAGTTAGAGGGTAGCTAGATAGACATGAATGGCGATAGATGGATAAGATCAAGGGGAAGGCATGGGAGTGCGTACGCAAGAATTAAGCAAGAGTTATCAGACCCAAGAACGAAGACTTGAAACCTCCTTCAGGATGTGGTCTAACAGATAGAGTAACATCCAGGTGGGGTAGCTTTGAAACCTGAGGAGGTATTTTTTCCCCCACAACCCAATTCCAGGGGATAAAATTTAAAATGCTCAAAGGAGCACCGGCACTTGGTTCTGCGTCAGCCAGCTAACCTGCCCACTCTCTCATATGTTTAAAGGGTATTCTTTTTTTGCAACTTAACTTTGCGGGTTTAACGCTATTGGGAAAGTCTATTTGTAGAATTCCTTCCTCCAAGTAAGACAGGAACCGGGTGCACGGAAACCCATTCTAACTTTTTTTTTGATCTTTTTAATTTTAAGAAAACATCCTCTACTCCTTGCATACTAAAAATCCAGATGGTAAAATAAACCCGAGAGAGAGAGAGGGGGGGGGGGAGGGAATGGATTTTCGCAAACATGAGAGTAAAAAAAAAAAATTGACTTACCAAACCATGATACTTTTACTCTCATTTAAAACTCCTTGTCCCTGTTTATTTGCTTAAGTGTAAGGGGTGTAAGGGAGTGTGGGTAGAATATGGACCAATAAAGTTTCTCTACAAATTTGGCAGGTGAGATATTCCAAATTCATATGGGCTGGCAAGCTGTTCTTATTTAAGTTGTAACATATAACATATATCATTTATAAAAATTATAGCACTATTGACTGGATTATCCCAGACATTTATCATCAGATTGTTGTTTTTTTATTATTTAAACCTTATACCAACCCTGCAAGGTATGTTATTATCTCATTTATAAATAAGAAAACCGAGACTCAAAGAGATAGAATAACTTGACGAAGATGCTCTGCTGTTTATCCAATCATGGCATAGGCAGTCTAAAAATTCAGGCTTCTCTGAAGCACTGCACTCTTTTCAGTAAGTAGCGGTGCCTCTTACACCATTTTACAGCACTAACTTGGAGGGATCAGTGTTTAGGCAGTTTGTATAGTGTGTGCATTTCAGTAAGTAATTCTCTGCACATAGAGACAAGACCAAATGACAGCTAAACAACCAAAGATTACTCCAGGCTACAGATAGCAAGGGGCAAATGTGTCTCCGAAAACTGTCAGCCTGTGTGTCTCAGAATATCAGGTATTTTCCACTTGATTACGTCTTCCAAAAGAAATCTATTCTCCAATGGAGCTTCATTATTCCTCCTCCTATACAAAAAAAAAGGGGGGGGGGATTCTTTCATTGGAAACCAATGGGACGCTCTTAACTCATTTCCTTATATTACATGGAAGTACTTTCTATCTTCAGAGAAAAGAATTGCTGGATGCTATGCCTAGTGCTTTTGAGTCCAACAATCAATACTGTGGAGGTCAGAGAAGATAAATCCTCATATCCTTTTAAGGGAGAGGGGTGATTTTAAACTTAATGAGAGCAGAAGTCTAAAAAGAGAGAGAAATGAAAAGTCTTCCCTCCCAGTTTAAAGGAGAATTTAGCAAGCTTCCCCCAAAGAATTGCCTAATTCTTTGACCTTCTTTCCAGGACCAGGCCTGAGAGGAGGGAGGAAACGGTATATTTTTCAAGTGCTTTTTAAAAAATTTATAGATGTTTCTGAACGTTTGGAACAGTCACGAAAAATGTTTAAATTGGCTCTCACCTGCCCATGAGCTGCCTGCAAGGTCCTATGCAGAGCAGAGGAAAGCACTCCCCGCCCAGACCACTACAGTCACCCGGAAGAGCCAACCAAACGCAGCATCCTCAGCCCCAGGGACGGAAGGTGAAAGGGGCATCTGGCAGGGGGGGAAGCATCAGTGTGTCCCTCAACATGCCCTGGAGCGGAAAGGAAGTGGGAAGCAGTTCT